TCTGCTCATGGTTCCTTACCATCTTCACTGTATGGTCAACTTTATTTTGCAGACTGTATACTTTGTCTTCATTATCTGACATTCTGTCTTCCAAGTGATCTAGTCRTATCCAAATGATCCTGTTGGTGAGGCTTTCTATTRAGTTTTTTATTTGGTTTATTGTTTCCTTCATTTCAAGGATTTCTGATATTTTTTTTTCAGAATCTCTCTTTCTTAAAATAATCTTTTGCTACCTGTATTTGCTCCCTTATTCTTTGTCGGTAAGATCAGTGGATGCCTGTATTTGCTCCCTTATCTGTTTATTGGTGTCATCAATGGTTGCCTGTATTTGTGTTCTTATCTCTTCATTGGAGTGATCAATTTTGCCTGTATTTACTCATTTAGGTTATTCTTTAATTCACAGATCATTTTAATTATAAACATTATGAACTCCTTCTCTGACATTTCATCAAGTGCACTGACCATGGTCCTGTTATTATAGTATCCTGGTTTGTTTGGGCACTTTCCTCCCTTGTTTTTTCATGTTGTCTATGTGATTTCCTTACTTGCAGTGTGGATCTGAGGTATTACAGTTTCTACCCTATAATCTTGTAGTAACTGTGCAGATTATCTGTATCTCACCTTGGTATTAGGCTTCCAAACTCTGCTGGTGTCTCAGGGTGGATGCTACTACAACTATAAGTGGTGGTAGCAATAGCAGGAGGTAACTTGAAATAGCAGTGGAGGTGCCCCAAGACGGATGCAACGTCTTTCGGAGATGGGGCTAAGGCTGGGCACAGTGGCGCGTGCCTGTAATCCCAGCTACTCGGGAGGCTGAGACAGGAGGATCGAGAGTTCAAAGCCAGCCTCAGCAATCATGAGGTGCTAAGCAACTCAGTGAAATCCTGTCTCTAATAAAATACAAAATAGGGCTGGGAATGTGGCTCAGAGGTTGATTGCCCCTGAATTCAATCCCTGGTACCAAAAAAAAAAAAAAAAAAAATGAGGCTGAAAGGGTGGTCCTTACACTGGCTTTGGGATGCCTGCTCCAAGATACAGCTGCTTCTAGGCCCYGTCTGTTGTGCCAAGTTTGAGGCTACTGCATTGGGAAGGCCATGGGGATGGCTGCAGTGTCTCAAGATGGAAGTGGATTAGACCTAGGCTCTCAGGTGGGGAGTGCAGGGGGTRGACCCAAGCTTACCCTGGGCCCTTCTCCTGTGCAGGTCAGAGAGGCGGATCTGGGCTGAGCCTGAGCTCTGGCGGGTATCTCTTGAATATCTTTTTACATCACATTTTGTCATTGCTATCAACTTATATTTTTTAGTGACTGCTCTACAGTTTATAATATACAAGTTCAACTTATCTCAATCTACTTTTAAATAACACTATATTATTTGATGAATACTGTAAGAACCTTACAATGATACCCTTACATCCCCTACTCCCTGCTACCATGTACTATTTACGTCATATATATGACATTTATGTAGCATAAACCTCACAACACATTTTTGTTTTAATCAGTCAACTGCTTTTGTTAAACAAAAGTACTGAGGTACAATTTATATGCCATAAATTTTGATCATTAGATATACAACTCAATGATTTCTTAAATTAACAATTGTTCAATCAACATCAAAATCCAGCTTAACAGTATTTTAATCATTCCACAAAAATCCTTATACTTCTTTGAAGTCAATCTCTATTCTTACCCCCACTAATCACTAATGTATCTATGTCTGTCTCTTTAAATTTGCCTTTTCTGGACATGTAGATAAGTAGAAGCAAACAATATATAATCTTCCCATATGCCTTCTTTCACTTTAATATAGCATTAGGGGCAGGGGTCGTGTTACCAGGGATTGAACTCAGAAGCACTTGAACATCTCCACATCTCCAGCCCTATTTGGTATTTTATTTAGAGACAGGGTCTCAGTGAGTAGCTTAGTGCCTCACTTTTGCTGAGGCTGGCTTTGAACTCGTCATCCTCCTCCTCAGCCTCCCTAGCTGCTGGGATTACAGGCGTGCACCATTGCACCCACCACTTCATCCTTTTTAAATGTGGAAACTATTCTATTATATGGCTGTGGCACATTTTTTGTACCCATTTACCAGTTGGTGGATACTGAATTGTTTCCACTTTGGGGCTACCAAGAATAATGCTTCCATCTGCAAGTTTCTCTGTGAGTATGTTTCCAATTCTTCCAGGATTAGAATTCTAGGTCAGATTATAATTCTATGTTTAATTTTTTTCAAGGAATTACCAAAGTATCCTCCACAGCATTTGCATCATTTCACATTTCCACCAACAGTGCATGAGGGTTCCAATATCTTCATATCCTTGCCAACTTGTTATTGTCTGCTGTTTAAAAAAATTATTAAAGCCATCCTAGTAGATCTGAAGTGGTATCTCATTGTGGTTTTGATTTGCATTTTATAATGAATAATGATGGTGAGCACTTTTACACATGCTTGTTCATTGTGTATCTTCTGTGGAGACTGATACAGACTGGCAGATGAAAAATCTGCTCTCAAACTCACTGCTCCTCTGCATTTGATGTCTTTTTTCCTCTGGCCACTTTAAAATTTTTCTCTTATTATTCATTTTGATCAGATTATATATAGCTTTCTATTTCTCTTGTGTTTGGGTTCACTGAACTGAAGTTTTTCACAAGTATTTCTTCCAATTTTTTCTCTCTTCAGTGAGTCCAACTACAATGTATTAGGCTACTTTATGTTGTCTCATAGCTCACTAATACTTTATTTTTTCTCTATTTCATTTTGGATAATATCTACTACTCTTATTTAAGTTCATGAATTTTTGATCCTGCAATGTCTAACCTGCCATTAATCCCTTTTAGTGCATTTCTTTTCTTTCTTTTTTTTTTTTTTTGGTCTTACATACTATAGTTTTCATTTCTAGAAGTCATATTAGCATCTTTTTAAAGACAGCCTAGTTCTCTAACATTTTGGACACATGGGACATAAAAACTTCCTAAAATTGTAAACCCATTCAAGAAGCTCAGCATATCCTTGACTGATAATTCTAATATCTATGTCAGGTCTGAGTTACTTTTGATTGATTTTTTTGTCCTATTATAGATTGTATTTTTCTTCCTCTTTCCATACTTAGTAATCTTTAACTGAAGGACAGAAATTGTGAATTTACTTTATTGGATTGTGGAGATTTCTGTATTCTATCAATAGTCTTGTGCTTTGTTMTGGGGATGGTTACATTACTTGGAAACAGTTTGATCCTTTCTGATTTTGCTTTTAAGATTTGTTAGTGGAGGCCCATAGAGCATTTACTTTAGTCCTAATTCCCCACTACTGAGGTAAGATGCCTCTGAGGTAAGTGCTCTGTGAATGATGAAGCTCCCCATTCTAACTCGTGTTACAAGAACTACATTCGGTCCTGACTGAGCACTAGATACAGTTCCTTCAAAACATTTCCAATGCTTTCCCCATCCTTGGGTATTATCTTCAAACGCATTYGCTGATCAGCAGTCTGCTAAATACTCAAGAGAAATTCTTTGATAGGATTCTCCTCTCTGGTATGCTACACTGCAAACTCAGTTCACCTTTATCTTCCCGCAGTTTCAGCTCTGTTTCCTCAACTCATGGAGTCCTCTAGGCTCCAGATGAGCTCCTCCTCCCTGAGACACAGCCCAGAGATATTCAGGTTTGGAAGCTAGGGCAATCACAGAGCTCACATCATTTGTTCTCTCTTTTGTCAGACATTGCCATGTCTTGAGAACTACAGTTTCTTTTTTTTCCCATAATTATTATTATTATTATTATTATTATTATTATTATTACTTTTGATTATCTTAGAGAAGAGAGTAAATCCAATCCCCATTAGTCCATCTTGGCTAAAAGTTCAAGTTCAAAGTGTGAAAGAAAATACCTATTTCGGGTAGTAATTATTATTACCTTAGTAAATCCTATTGCATTATCATTTCTTATTCTGGATTTTCTTGGTTTTTAAATTGTAGGACTGGGGGCTGGAGTTGTGGCTCAGTGATAGAGCGCTTGCCTAGCATGTGTGAGGCACTGGGTTCAATTCTCAGCATCACATATAAAAAATAGATAAATAAAGGCCCATCAATAACAAATAAAAATATTTTTAAAAATTGTGGGACTGCAGCACCCATATTTTATTTATTTATATATATATATATATATATATATACACACACACACACACACACACACACACATAATATATACATGCATACATATATATATATATATATTGCTTTGAAGTTATAATTAAAAGAAATTTAAGCAATGCCTATATATCATGCTACGATCTTCATTAAATATGATCGTCATTACTACTTCTTTCAAGAAATCACCCAGGAAAGTCTTACATCAGTCTGTTTTTCTTATTTAAAGATTAATGGTAGGAAACATGAGATCATGATTCAAAGTRAGTTAACTATAAACTACTTATATAAACTGCTTAAGGCTGTAACTGTAGTTGCCTATAATAAGAGTAAAATTAATACTAAGATCATAAATTTTCTGTTATTTTCCCCTCTTTAAGGTCCTATACTTCATCTACCACCTGCCCTAAAAGAATTTTCTTTCTCTGAAAGCCATCTGTGCTTTTCAATGCCTACCACTACCATTTCTTGTCAAGTCTCGTAGGCCACTTGTCCCTTAAATGTACCAGGCTTATTGTCACCAAATTGAACTTCCTAAAATATTTTGATTTTATCAATTCAAATTAAGTCATGTACAAGGACAAATTCTCAATTTCACTCACTTTTCAGTATAAAAGTTAATAACTCTTTGATATTAAGTTAAATTAATGACATATCTGAAGAAAAAAATAACAGGTTTGGCTCACATCCTGATATCTACAAATACCTCCATACCCATTTATTTCTACCTAGTGGCTTTCAAAGAAACACCTCAAGACAGGATAATAGTCCCCATAACTTCCTATTCCTTTAACAAAAACAACAAAACACCAAGTTTATCAAAGTAACACTAAGATAATGGATTACCCTTACCAAAGCCTGGCTGACATTTCCACCAGTGGCGAGTGACTTGAAATGACTGCTGTTATATACCAATTGAACTTCTGAGATCTCCACTGTTTCCAGTTCTTCTTGTGTCTGCCGATCAATCACATGCAATTTCTCTACACTGTCTAAGAGCACAACTGTACGAGAGTTTATCCACTGCAATTTAAGCACACAACAAAATAAAAGTGAGGTCCAGCCCACATCATCATTCAGGAGAAGAAAGGCTGTCCATTCAGCTAAATTACATCGAGGACTTTATCTATTTAATAACTTAAAATATGGTAACACAATCATGGCAAGAACTATTCAGTAACAGTCCAGAGAAAAATAGTACTGAATTTTCACAGTGCTAAAATAACACTTTAATAATGTAAGAGATGACTGACTAAAGACTGTAATAGATTACAGACTATATGGGATTTTATAAGTTTTGTTTAAAGTGGATTGGCACAAATGACTTCAGTGCAATGACAAATTTCACATTTCTGCTTTTTATATTAATTAAACAAAAGAGAAAATTTAGCTTCATAAACCTACCTGGTCAGAGGATGATTGCTAGCACTGAAGCAATACATATTTTAAAACAGAAGTTTTGAAACATATGATTCCTTCTAAAACTCCCTAAAAATTAAGGGAGAGTTGTCTTTCTATTATTTTGTATCTTCTGAATGTTCTTTAATAAACACCATTGTAATTTAAATAATACTAAATTAATAATTTTAAAAATCTTATCCGGGCACAGTGGGCATGCCTATCCCAGCAGTTCAGGAGGCTGAGGCAGGATGATCACAAGTTCAAAGCCAATCTCAGCAAAAGCAAAGTGCTATGCATATCAGTGAGACTCTGTCTCTAAATAAAATACAAAATCGGGCTGGAGATGTGGCTCAGTGGTCAAGTGACCCTGAGTTCAATCCCTGGTACTAAAAAGAAAAAAAAGAAATCTTAACAATACCACTTTGATAAATTTCTTGAGTTATGTGTAAAATAAGATTTCTTATTTTCAAAAAGAAAATTAGAAAGCACAATCCTTCTCTAAGAAATAAATGAAATCTTAAAATCTGCTCAATCAGAATTATCAAGTAGAACAAAGTGTTTACACTGATATATTTGTATAACCTATTCCATTTATTAGATTATTTGCATAATGCCATATCAAAGAAAACTAAATTGAAAATGGGTTTTCTTTTAGCATATGCTACAGTTATGCCCGATCACTGTAGAGTAGCCACTAAAAGGTCCCTCACCCCAATCTTTGTCAAACAGAGGAAATTTGATAAGCAAAATGTTTACAAAGAATTCTTAAAAGGTATTCTTTTGATTAATTTGAAAAACAAAGTATCTCCTAGGAAAGACACTCTACCCTTATACAACCTTAAATCGGTGCTAGATTGTAGGTACTTTAAAGGGTCACCTGGCTAAAAGAAAGAGAAAATCACAGAAAGAATTAAGTTTAGACATTATTCCTGCAATCAACCTCACAACTGCAAATACTGACAGTGTTATAAACAGTCCTTTTAAAGATCATTTATAAAATAATATAGTTAATGGTCACATCGTGGATCTGCCAAAGGACAAATGAAATCACCAACTGACCTACTAGGAAGAATGGCTACTTGTGATTGTGAAAAAATTTACAGTGACATACTCATAGGAAGATGTTTAAAACATTGTATTTCAATCATCTTAAACAGAAGTGATGATCATGAATTCTACAAAATTATGTTAGATAATTCAACAGGGTTTTGGGTGATGAGAAAGACAATGATGTATTACATCAATCTGAACAAAGTTACTTCACAAAACACGTATGAAAAAAAATATTACAGGTTAAATATTCCTTATATGGAATATTTAGGACAAGAAGTGTTTTGGATTCATTTGGGAATTTGAAATATTTACATATATAATGAGATATCTTGTAAAAGGGACCCAAATCTAAATATGAAATTCACTTATGTTTCATATACACATACCCTGAAGGTAATTTTATACAATACTTTTGGCATACCTGCATTTTTAACTAAAACCTGTCATATGATGTCAAGTGTAGAATTTTCCACCTGTGCCATCAAATTGGCACTCAAAAAGTTTGGGGCTTTAGAACATTTCAGTTTGAAGATTTTCAGATTAAGGATGCTCAACCTTATTTCTAAATCAGTAGTTTATGAGTGAGTTCAAAATGTAAAGTGGGACAGGCCCAATGGTCCCTGTATGTAGTCCCAGAACTTAGGAAGCTGAGGCAAGAGGATCACTTCAACCCAGGAGTTCAAGATCACTCTGAGGAACATAGTAAGACCTGTCTCAAAACAAAAAAAGCAAGGCACAGAAGTATAAGCCTGTAGTCCCAGTTACTTGGGAGGCTGAGGAAGATTGCTTAAGCCTAGGAGTTTGAGACCTGCTTAAGCAAGACTCTGTCTCTGGGGGTAAAAAAATGCAATATGCAATTAAATTAATAAATCATACATCATAAAAAACATATTTCATCTGCATCCTGAAAATTATACATTACAAAATTGGAGGGAAAAACAATTTTATTAGTCTTTTTATTGGAAAAATGAGGTTTTCCCTTATATTCAGGGCTGCCTATATTCATTCACGTACAGAATATTTCAATGGACACCAGATACTGATGTCCTAAAAAAAGTAATGAGAGAAATAAAAAATACTGTAATTCCACTATTCTCAAAACTAATACACTAACACACTAAAAACTAATACACTTAAAAAATAAAAAAAATTAAATTTGATTTAAAAAAGACAGCTTTTTTATTAAAAAAAAAAAAACAAAACACCAAGATATCATTCAGAACGGAGATATCAGGTATAGAGAGAACTCAGTAGACTTTTTAACCACAAGAATAGTAATTTAATCTCCTAAACTCATTAGGACAAGCTCAGAAATACAAAAGTGTGTTCACAGAGAAAGTGGGGCAATAATCCTAAAGAAAGCCATCTAAATACTTCTGAACCCTGACTTCTCTTAGAATTAATCAAGACACCAAAGAAAAATTGCCTGGTCTTGTGTGTTCAGCAAAACATCAGGCCAAAAGGAAATAATTATGTGGCATCATTCAATATAAGCAGGATTTCACTTCTGCCTGTATGTACATGATCCTTCTGTTCAAGGCAGAACTCCTATTAGCTTTAATACACCATGTATTCAAAATAACTGCATGAAATCAATGGGGGCATTCAGTTTGAATGATACTCACAGTAAAGTTGATGAGGTCGTAGTATAGGTGAAGGTGYTTTTGTTTAGTCACATGTATGGCTCCAGATTCATCTCTCTTAACCTGATGATGAAATGAAAACCACCTAAACATCAGTTATTGTTTGAAGTATTTAATTATACACTACCTAGAGTATGATTCCCATTCAATAAAGACAAGCCCCAAATATTGATAATTAGAGAAACCAATACATAAATTTAGAAAAATCATCTGTACCAAAACTCAAGGAATGTCTGGTTAGTGGTCTASCTGTCAGTGTTGCCAAATGCTATAATATGATTTTTATTCTGTCTTAACTCAAAATAACCTAACTCCATCACATCAATAATTGTATATAGCTAGAAAATAAGATGGGATTGGTGACATGTGTAAAGCCAAACAAAAGTTTATTAAAAAAAAAAGCAACAGAAGCTAAAAGTAACAAATATGTATTTTTCTAAACTATAATATATAGTTCACACAACCCAAAATTTCCCAAAAGAACTCTAGTATCAATATTTTATTTCTATGTGTGTATGTGTGTATATGTATACACACACACACACACACACACACACATATACATACTCTGTAATTCTCAACCATCCTCATAATTTGCTTTCTCCACCTCTGCTCCAAGGTAACAGAACCGTGAAGAAGAAAAAAAAGCAAAAGATACACCTGGCCACCTGGAATTCACCACATTCAATTCAACCTGTTTTTCTTGAATGCTTCCACAGTAGTGTGCTAGATGTCTTTTAAGTCTCAATTGCTCTTTGCCTCCTAGTCCCACCACTTGCAGTGTTGGCTTCATTTGTTACCTTAAAAAAAACTGAAATCACTTAATGTGGGCCCTTCATACAGACATCTTTACTTCACTAAATTACCTGCCCCAGGTGAAACAACGTTCTGGTAAAATGATCATATGCTGCATATGATGAAAGTGCATATGATAAACCAGAAACATCAACACCCACATTGCCTATTCCCCTAAAATTTTCCAAAGTCCTTGAAGAAGATCACACTTCATCTGTAACACCTCTAACTCCTATCCCCTCCATCACTGTTCAATCCTCCTTTGCTGGCACATTTAATCCCTCCCTTTTAAGGGCCCTTTTGCAGCTGGGGACATAGCTCAGTGGCAGACTGCTTGCCTAGCATGTGCAAAGCCCTGTTCAATCCCCAGCACCACACTCCCCACAAAAAATCTTAAGGGCCCTTTGCTTTTGTTCTCAAATATGTTTCTGATTTCATCTTCAAATAAAAAATAAAACAATCCCCCCAAAACCCTGTCCTTGATTTATTTCTTACAGATAACTATCTAACCAAACTCTTTCCTTTTACACTATGATTGTTTGAATTTGCTCTTCTAAAGACCCATTTCGTTAACAAGGCTCTACAATCTAGCTTCTATATCCATTCCACTTTTTCCAACTGAAAAAGTTCTTGATATGTTCAGTGGTCTTCCCTTTGGTCTTCCTCTTCCTTTGCTTTACCGCTTGCTCCTCAGCAGGATATAATGACTTACCACATGCCCAAAAGGCACAAAGCCAAACAACCATGGACTGAAACCTCTGAAAGTATGATGCAAAACCTATCCTCTTTTAGGTTCATTATCTCAGATATTTTCTTATAGTCAAGGAAAGCTGCCTAATATACCATGTATGCTCTAGCTTTGAATGTTGAGAGCTTCCAATAACTCCTGTCTTAAAATTCTCATTTGTACTTCAGATCTGACATTTCCTCATAGAACACCCCCTGATATAACACTTGAGAGTCCCACTTTTCACTTTCAACTCAATATTGAAATCATTCCTAATCATTTGCTAACCAAGCAATCTCCCTTTGAATATTTCTTGGCTCTAAAATGTAGACATGTGATGTTTTAATTATGTTCTTCAGCCCCTAGATCCCACTGGATAACAAGCCTTGTCTTTCGGGGAATCATCCCTTAACTCACTATAGCCAACCATCTCTGTTTAAGCACATTGTACCTGTTTTATTATGAGAGCAAATCCTTCATTTTCCCTACTGTCTTCTATGTTGTTTTTATTTTTTGAATCCAGGGGCACTCAACCCCTGAGTCATATCCCCAGCCCTTTTTAATTTTTATTTTGAGACAAGATTGCACTAGGTTGCTTAGGGCCTTGCTAAGCTGCTGAAGCTGGTTTTGAACAAATTCTGGCCTTGAAAAAATCCTGCAATCTTCCTGCCTCAGCTTCCTGAGAAACTGAGATTATAGGCATGCRCCATGGCATCTGGCTTCTATACTCTTTTTGCTACTGGTCTTCCTTAAATACAACTTGCAGCACATCTTCACCTATGATGGTTCCCATTACCAGTCTAGGCTAATCATTTTATAATCAAAATCAGGGGTATTTTCTCTGTGAAGAGTTCCAGAGCAAATATTTTAGGCTATAGACTATGCAATCTTCTATCACATCTACTCAACTCTACCACTACAGTGAGAAAGCAATCAAAGATATTAAAAATGAAAGGGTATGGCAATGTTCCACTAAAAATTTGTTTATAAAAACAGATAACTATCCAGATTTGGCCTAGGGGGGTCACAGTTTGCCAACCCTTAACCTAGATCTACCCATGCATTCAATTTTATTTTCTACCATAGGTTTCTCCCTATCATTAATTCCATGAACATTTCTTAAGCTAGGATAAGTGGAAGAGAAAACAGAGCTTTTCCTATAGAAGTGACATCATATGTAAAGGCATTCCCACAGACTTGTTGGGAAGCTACTGTGGAGTCTAGGCCAGCAATCCACGTGGCTTAGACTGGGAGGCAGCAATGGAGGAGACAAAAAAGGAGAAAATCAACATTTGGAGATAGAGTCAACAGTCTTGGTGACAGAGCATGTCTGAAGGGAGAAAGGAAATGAACTGTTACTCCTAGGTTTCTTGCTGAAGAAACGAGGTGGATAGTGGTGCACTTGCTTCACTGAGCTAGGAACCTAAGAAGAGGGTACAGTCTCAGCTCAATGACTTCAATTTATCTCCTTTCCTCCAAATCCTATAAAGTCTCTCTAGAACATTCKAATCTCTTTGAACTAGAATTTATATCAACTTTTAATTCTCATCACATAGTTCAATGCATAAACTGTTTTCTCTATTGGTAACAAAAATAATTGTTTTGTGTTTCAGACAATATTATAAGCTATGTGAAAGAATAAAACACTATTTTAGTCTTTCCTTCTTTCTTTCTTTTTTTTTTAATGCAGGAACTTCATTATACAACTTGTACTAGGCACCTGGTAGACTCAGATTCACAGAGACAGACGGTAGAGTAGTGAATACCTCCAGGAGTTGGAGGTAACAGCAAGTGGAGAGGTTTTTATTTATTGTTGTTTTGTGGTGCTGGGGAGTTAACAGGGCCTCATGCACACTAAGCAAGAGCTCTACCACTTTACTCTGAAATACATAAAAAAACTGAAATAGTCTGATAGGTAGACAGATGAATAAAKGTATAGCTATACAATAAAGGACAGTAAAATAAAAAATAAAAAATATCCCAATTTATCTTCATTTGCTTTTTGTTCACCAAAATGTTGAGAACACAGCCAATGCTCAATGATACTTGTTCTCTAATACACAGATATATAGGTAGATAGCATTAAAACAGACATGTTCACATTCATGTTTACATATATAAACCATTAATTATTTGTCAGCCAAAAGAGAGAGAATTGAGAAACAAACAATGAAGAGTTATAGATCAGTCTTTTTTATATTAAAGCTTTAAATAAAATTAAATAGGTCACTCTTTCTCCAAAAAACTTATAAGATATATTTCTTTGACACAATTTAAATTACTGATGAATCATTAAAAAAAATTATGATACCAAACTTTATAAAAGACATACCATCATTATCAGGACTTACCAGTAGAAAATGAACAACATCTCCTCTGCAGAAAGCAAGCATGGGATTCACATAATTATGCACAGCCACAAAGTGCCAGGCAAGCAATGGAACACTAGAAGGATCCATCTAAGTAAGGAGAAGGAAGAGGGCGTGGTGGAAATAATTCATCATAGTTAACAGAAGAATAAYAAAGAAAAAACTCAGACTAGTGATCCTTGATAAAACCTTGCCCAACTTCTCGTAAAAATTCCAACAAAGCAGGGACTAAATGGAAAATGTCACAAGAGAACTTTCTGAGTTGATGGTATATTTTATATCTTGATAGAGGTTTTGGTTACAAAAATATATGAATTTTTCAAAGTTCAGCAAATGTACTCTAAAAATTTATATATTTGTTGTATATAAATTTTATACCAAAAAAAAAAAACCTAAACAAATACTCTAGCTAATGCTATGCACACTGAATACTTAAGGAAAAAGAGTTTTGATTTCTGCAATTTACTCTGAAATACATAAAAAAACTAAAATAATCTGATAGGTAGACAGATGAATAAATGTGTAGATATACAATACAGGACAGTAAAATGACAATGGCAGGTATACAAAGATTTAATAAAAAATTCTTTGAACTTCTTTATTTGTTTGAAAATATTCATAAAAAATGTTGGGAAAATACCAATACAACACACAAAAAGATGCAAATATATAATACTGTGATAAAAACTTCAACTCGCTAATGAAGCTAATCTAAGAAATGTTAACAACAATCTAAGCCAGTTTTGCCATCTAAAAGGACAGACTCTGGTGCCCAGAGATATACAAGGTACCAACAAAAAAACAAGCATAAGCTCCCTCAGAATAGGGGATGCTTTCTGAACTAGCAGAGACCTGTGCTCCATGCCATTCCATCAGTACCTTTCCTTATATGCACATTATAAGATCACACTCTCTGAAAAACCAAGCAGGAAAGGCTAAACTGAGGTATGAATAATACAGTTGTCCCTTGGTAGCTAGGGGGATTGGTTCCAGGATCCCTGCTCTGTCCATGGATCTATAATCTATAATGCTCAAGTCCCTTATATAAAATAGCATAGTATTTGCATATAACCTATGCATATCCTCCTACATATTTTACATCATGTCTACACTATTTATAATACCTAATACAATATAAATGTTATGCAAATACTTGTAATACTTTATTGGTTAGGAAATAATGACAAAAAAGTCTATACATATTCACTATAGATATAATTTTTTTCTGAATATTTTTGATGTGTGGTTGATCAGATCCATGTGGATGCAAAACCCACAAATATAGAGAGCTAACTGCACATTCTGGGAAGTATCATTTCCTAAAGTAACATATCAGAGGCAGAAGTCAAAGAAAGCATATATAGTAGCAGTTTATGCTGGAAAATTCAGTGGAATATATTCTATCAGTAGTTCAGTGTCAAAGCATCAAACAGCACAATCCTGCCTCAGGACAGCTGTCACAAAAAAACAAATGTCCTTCAAACACTGAAAATAAAGGCTGGGACTCAATATATCAACTTCTCCTCCAGCATTTAAACCAATAAGAGAATTTTACTGCCCTCAAAAGGGCAGTGAATGAAGCTAGGAAAATCCATGCATGAAATTAGGTGATCACAAAACACCAGAACAGCAAGACACAAAGACTAACAAACTGAGGTTAAAAATAAGAGCCAGTTATATGTTGTTTATGAGAGAAAAACATAAACTGGTAAAGACAAAAGTRTAAGATCCCATGGTTGCAAGGGCACTGCAATAGTCACAAGCTTGTCCTGCTTTGGTCAGCKTAAGGAAGTCCAGAAAACAGTACTTAGAGTACTGACTTCCATACTGTCTAGATTTCTCATGATCTCATAGAACTGCCCCTCTTGAATCATCTCCCGCAACTTCCTGACACAGCCATTCCTTTTGCCAACAAGATGGAGAAGTATACTTACCCGTCCATAGGGAAAAGTCATCCATACTTTCAAGGATGGTTTCAATCCAATGACCAGAATCTTTAAGAGGAAAAAAAATTACTACTTCCAATATTTACTTGATAATTTTCAAATTGTTGGTGTTCAAACATCTAAAAGTTATGAATTACATCTTCTATATACACCCACCTTTGTTAAGGATGCCATGGCCAGTAATGAAAACTGCGTGATGGGATGATCTTTCAATTCAGGCTTAGAATGCAGGGGCTCAATACAACAAACTTCACCCTTGGAACCACTGAACAGACATCGAGATTCACAAGTTCTCACTCCCATTACTCTCCTAAAAGTGTAACCAAACCGTTCAGAATTTAGTAATGATCCAAGGCACCATCACCTCCAGCTTGGCCTATCACTACAGCTTCCCAGCTCCTATTCTTGCCCACAACAATGCAAACTCCACATGACAACAGCAGAATCTTCTTATTAAACATGTCAGATCTCTCTCTTCTGCTTAAAACACTCCACTGGATTGCCACTGTATCTAAAATGAAATACAAACTCTTTACCCACATCTTAAAATGGTCCTACCTTCACTCCTCTCTATTGTCATTCCTGACAAAGTCAAGCTCCAGCCACACCTGCCTTCTTTGCATTGCCCTAGCAGGCCTTGTGCCCACTGCAGAGCCTTTGTGTTCTAATGCTCCTTTGCCTGATGCTTCTCTTCCGGCATTTGTTGCATTTGTTGACCAATTCATCATTCAGGTCTTTTTTCAAATGTCATCTAAAAGAGGCCTTTCTGAGTTATCCTTGAGTACATTCCAGTACACTGACCTGCCTTAGTTTCTTTATAGCAATCATATTTACCTAAAGTTATTTCATTTATGTGTTGGTTTTTTATCTGTCTCCCTATCCTTACCCCAACTAAAATGTAAGTTCTATCAGATGAGGAACCTCTCCTCATTTAAAGCCATAACTCTGGCATCCAGACAAATGCCTATACACACAAGATGCTTAATTAACATTAGCTGAATAAATAAATAGCATTTTTAAAATMTGAGCTCTTTCTTTTAAACATCAGAAAATAAATCACAGATAATGGTTTGTTTAATGCTACATATCCCATTTACTTTAGATTTATGAAAAACAGGTCACGTGACCAATATTTCAACAAATAATAGTTTTTCAGCAATACTATATGCTCAGTTTTTAGAGGCTATGAAAAATACAAGAAACAAAAATGTGTTAACCTTGAAGAAACTGTGGAAATGTAATAAATATTGAATATTATGTTCTATTTTTTTTTTAACTTCAGCTTCATAAATGTTCTCTCAGATATTTAGATAGTTTTTGTTTTTTTATTTAAAGAGTAACCAGGACAGTTCTAAGGAATAAGATTTTTTATACTTGGTCATTATGGTTATAATCAGCTGGGCCTGGGGCCCAAACCAAAATTAGTGAGCTACTCCAAAACAGTTGTTACCAAGCCAGACAGCATGATAAGAGTCACCTGGAATGTAGGAATCTAAAATCTTAACTCAGATCTACTGAGATAAAAATGGGTGACCAGGCCTGGAATGCCATGTGTTCTATAAGCCTCTCCAACTAATTGTAATACATAGCATAACTATTTCCAATCACGTAGACTTTCCAGATCTCTTCATGTTCAATTTCAGATCACTAAACCATAGCTAGTCTTTTCATTGTCAATAATAGCCATTAGTCTCTTACTTAAACGTCAATTCAAAAACAGAGCCACCACTGTCGTTGCAAATGGCAAGAGTTGGATCATCTGTAAACTAAACAGAGAAAGAATTTATTTTCTTATAGATTTTTAAACAACCAGTCAAATGTTAAGAAGATAAAGGGAAAAAAACTAAAAGTTTTTAAAAATCTACAATATAAACATTTAGCATTTGAAATAGCCTAAACTAGATTCACATTCTCACTTTAAACATACAAACTTACCATTATTTAGAATAAAAATGGTTCAGTATCTTTAAAAAAAAACTATAGAGACTTTCAAAAACAAAGGTACCTTTCATCAGAATAAAAGAAAATTTCAAACTATAGTTGATATAAACCCTAAAATTCTCTACTTGGGCTCTTACATTAAGGTTTTCTAATGAATAGGATCATTTGGATACTTTGGCAGTTGCCTAGTATTCCAGAATAAAGACACAGTAAAAGATACTTGGTATCTTTGGAAAATAAACTTGTCTGAATAAAGAGTTAATCCTACTATATCTAAGACATCTTAACTTTTCATATAACTTTTCCCAAATTGTGCTATCTTCTTGATCTTATTCCAGCGTATACTTCAGTTATTATTACCTAAACTAGAAAACTCAGAATAATAATGTTCACACTATGCAGTTCTAAGATCAGATGAAGAATGGTAAATGATATAGGACACAAAATGAAATAATGAAGCTTTTATCAGCTAMGGTAACTAGCCCAAAGTTTGGGCTTCCCCGTAAACCATCCTAGGATGGTTGAGATGCAGGAAGTCACTATAAAATTCTTCTTCTACAACCCCACACACAGGCATAGTACAGCATCCTATTTATTTGCTCTCAAAGTCTAGATGAACAGTTGACAAAGTGAGAAGCATGTATCCTAGGGGTATGCATAAGATAGTCCACTAGAGTGCAGGAAACATAAGAGTACTTGTATTTCAGTTTGATTTTCTGTGTATGTGCCCATAATATGGTTAAAAATGTACAGTAGAATATTTGTATACTTATACACACACACATATACATAAAGAATGAAAATCCAAATTGTTATTGATGGGATGTATGGCTAAGTTTAGATAACAAACACTTTGCAATACTGAAGTGCAAACAGCTACTGTCAATCCAAGACCGATCTCAGGAGTACTCAATTATACATATCTTTCTCTAATGTCAGTGTGTCTACATACACCTTCATCATCATTCCTCAACAACAGTGGCTCCTACTCTTATGCTTTTAATCTCAGCCACATCCTTCTCTTTTCTCTCTGCCTCTACTTCTTCTGTTTCTTATTGTTTCTCATAATAACTTCTTTTTTTCCAAGAGGACTATCCATTTACAAACATCTACCCTCTAGTTATTCCTCCAATCAAACATTTATTGAGCAGTTAGTATGGGTATAACACAAAAATAACTGACAAACATATTCTGACTTCAAAGATGTTCCCATATTAAGAAAGAGAAAACACATACACAAGCAACTATAAATATTAAAAGTTGGTAAATGCCATATGAAAAGAAGTCAAGATAAATTACTATCATGTACTGAAAGAGGAGAAATTCTCTCAACTTTTGCTTTTCTTGGTTGTTTTCATTGTTACTAAATGCTTCAATGCTGCTTTGTCACAAAAGACATTTTTGTAACTAACCTAGATGCAGACATATAAACTCCAGATGCTTGCAGACTTTAAAAAGCACATGTATGTATGAGAGCTCTGCACAGCTAAGCAACAAGATATGTACATGATTAAAATCTAGATCTGATTTTAGACTCCCCCAGCTATAGTCCTTTCCCCTTTATACTTCTGAACATGGGCTTCCAACCACACAAGAACCGAGGTTCACACGTATTTATACATGAAATCTGTTACCTAAGTCAGTTTATTTTTTTTCAGACCTAGAAGGAGAAAACCAAGACTAGGATCTTAATGGATTCCCTTTAGAGCCCTGAAAGAAAATAAACCAACGATTCACTTCTAAACATAATCCAAACCCTAGTTCTTTCAGAACTGGTGCCCTGAGCCTCAGGCATCACCTAACAAAGGGTAACAGAGCACAGCACCTCAGCAGTAAAAACCTGGCAGATTACACAAAAGTAAAAAGACCTTTTAAGATTTCATATGAGTTTTCAGCAGGGTGCTGCCTGTTTTTGTTGCAACTTATAGTCTAGGATCACATCAGTTTGCCCTTCTGCTTATATCTAATTAGGCTTCAATACAATCTGAAGCTGAATATTTCCATCTTAACCCATCTCTGGTTTTAACTTGGGGAAAATATCTTGTTGGGTCAAATAATGTTCAGCTTCATCTTTTGGGTTTCTGATTGCCAACATAGATGAATGTATTTTAAAGTGGATATAAAGGCATAATAATGAAGATTATTAGCAGAAAAAAAACAAAGCTGTTACCTTGATATGCAGTATTGCTGTTCCTGGAGGATGAGCATCTGTTATTGATCTGAGAAGTTTTCCACTCGCCAAATCCCACATGGTGATCTATAAGACAACTAAGTGCTTTAAAAACAAATTTATTGCTCTTTTTTTGGATTTAAGTATCCTGCCTTCTGGATGAAATAATCTACTTCTCATCTATAAACATTGCAGGCAAAGAACCATAAAGTTAAAACATACCTAAAAGTTGCAGATCCATTAAAGCATGGAGCCTTTTTCCATCTTCATCTACCTGTGCCCAACCCACTTATCCCTTTAGATTTTAAATGCTATTCTTATATTGAGAGGTAAAAGAGATTTCTCTAATAAGTCAATCTGTTTAGCACTGGTAAAAATTATAGGAAAGGCTCACTGCCAAACCAGCTAGTGATGCATAAATCAGAAGCTTAAGAAAAACCATAACCTATTCCAGTTTAAAAAGTATAAAGGAAAAAAATAGTTACCCAGGAACACAGAAAAATAATACAGAAAGCAGAAACTCTCAAACTAAAAGTAGCCACAGTTGTGTATTACTACATAAGGAGATGCATTTTATACAACACCTTGTTTGGTTTATAAAAGTTATTTGTTAAAAGAGACACATGACTTAGAATATAAAAATTACAGACTCTAGCTCAATCAGTAACAATTATTAAGAAATCTGTATAAGACAAAAGTCTGAGCAATCTCAGGTTAGCTCTATAGATATAATACTTCATAATACATTATTCTGATTTTCAAAATACTGATCTAAAGATAGTTTTAAAAATTAATTTTAACATTATCTTATAAGTGAAAGAAGTTTTGCATATTACCTGTCCTTTAGCAAAGCCACAAAGAAGTCTTGAGCAGTCATTATTGATACTGAGGGCAGAGATGGCTCCATACTGACCTCCAACACTTGTGTTACCCAGGCAGAGTCGCAATGCTTGATTCTGATCTAAAGAAAGTGGTTTGTAGAGTCAAGTGAAAGAAATACGAGTGAATAAATAAATACAGTTTATGCATGTTTTCAAAGACTTGGGAAGTGGAAAGAATCAAAAGAAGTATATGATAAGCATTCATTTTTTCACATTCATTTAAAAATATATTTATTGAGCCTCTGCCAGAAGCTGAGCATTAAGACATTAACAAAACAATAAGGGAAAAAAAGCTATAGGGGAGTCTAATACAAAATTTGCTAATGATAAATCAAAAAGTCTATAAGAAGTCCTACCTCTTTGAACAAACTTTCAACTCCCTCATCCTAAAATTGTACTTCTTGGCCATTTTTAAGATGCAGTGTTAAAGGAATACCACCTTCTTTAAAAGTAGCTTTTAAATTTCAAAAATCACAATGTATTAATTTAGATGTTGGCTAAAATTTACGTTTATATTATCCATGAAGAGAAGTTTTTCTTAGAAAATTAATAGCATAAGTAAAATTATAGAGTGAACATTTAAACTACTTCAGAAAATTATTTCAAGCATAACATTTGATATGGTAAAAGCAAATAACTGAAACCTCTACTAGATTAAGTTATTGAAGACAAGGATTTCTGATTTTTCTAGGAGGTACTCAAAATATTTATCAAATTTTATTATCCTAATAATTTTTTTAAATTGCTCTAGGGTTTATCCTAGACAATGCTTATTTTGTAAAGAGTTTATGATTATACCCATTTGAAAAAAAATGAAATAAAAAATTCAAATGTAAGAAAGCATGCATACAAAATTTAACTGTTTAGAAAAACAAACAAAAAAACATACTTCCACAACCTGGCAATTTGGCAATTTGGAGTTCTCTACCCCTGTAGCACTTGTATGGGCCTCTGTAACTATAGGGCATGATGTAACATGGGACATGTTGCATTAGAAAAGAGGAAACTTAACTTGCTGGCTACTACCTGCTTCTCAGTCCTGGGGCCACATGTGGCTAARAGAGCACCTAGCGATTAGCCAAAAGGCATTGCCTGGGTTGTGATGAAGAATCGGACTACCTCTAGGATAGACTCAGAACCCTTCTGCCCTCAGACAGCTGGACAGCTCATCTCCCATTACTGCCTGTAGAATGGGTGTAGAGGTAAATTCTCCCCACCCTGCTGACCTTTACCCTGATTGGTTCCTGAACATTATATTAGCTCTGTGTGTTTTCTCATTAAACAAGATCCTATAGGTCTGATCATCCTCCTGCAAGGGAGGGCTGGGTGCGGGCAGCCAGTGGAACTTTACCTTTCTTGGTTCTTCCTGGTCAGAGYGTGCTCCCCCAATCTCTGCCACAACTCAGGTGGGAACAGGGGGCTAAAAACTCCTGACATGTAACTATCTACATGCAAGTTTCATAGTATGGCTTACCTCCCTATTACACTGTGCTCAGTCTGAGGGCTAAGACCATGAGTGAATTAACACTCCCAGAATTCCTAACTTGGTGCCTTGCACTCAGGCATCTGACAGGCATCCTAACAACTGTCACATCTGCAAATCTACCTCCTAAAAGAGTAAATCTAGTTACCAGAAAAAATCTAAAGATACTCATTCTCAGGTGTAAGAAATAATACTTGGTAGGTCACCCATCCAAAGTAAATGTCATAAGAGTGTTTTTCTGGGTTCATAAGCTGRCACTAATAGTAATCCTCAACAGCAAGGAGTTCTGTAACAAAGAATGGCTATACCATATCYAGCACACAGAATATACTCAACATTTTTTTGCATCATTTTAGATTTTAGCCTTTCAAGGTAAACATTCAAAAAGGAATCAATTCATAAGTAAAAAAAGGTCTAATATATTTTAAAAAGTCATTATATTTATTTCATATTTAGATTTTTTTCTCCATGCCTCCAGAATGGTGTCCCTTAATATAATCCAAATTATTAAAATTTCCCTTTATTTTATTAATTCCTTGACTATAAATATGACATCATTTTTTTCTTTCACTCTACTGAAATTGCCTACCTACAGTAGTGTCTTCCATGATTCTCACTRTGTCAGGACTACCTTATATAGTGAGTGGATTAGCCACAAATCATAATTTGCATACAATATGATGCTTAAGCAATAGTATTCTCTATATACCACTACTTTTGGTCATGTATATAAGCAACAGGTAAATGAAAATAAGAGGACAAAGGCAAAGGCTGGTGTCTGAGCTGCCTGCTTTCTAGCACAGGTTAGTACTCAAATCACAGTGCTGAGGTCCTTTGTAGTCCAGTCTTATTTTGAGGTAGAAAATTTCTAGTGTCCAATTCACCAATATACTTGCTACTGCTTTCTGATTTAATAAAGTCATAGTTAAATTAGGTAAATTTAAGTATTCTTATAAAGGGTGGAAAGTATAAGGAGAATTAAGATGTACAATCAAATAGAGAATATGGAAAGAAAGAGGAAACAGAAGAGTGCCAATGTAAGGAGAGGAAGAAAAGGACATATCTAACGTTTAGATTAAAACCCTACACATCTCTGTGCTTTCCTGATTGTAGTTCCCATACTCCAATCTAACCAAGAGAGGAAACAAAATTACCAGCCTTGGTCACTCCTGAAAAATGTATTAAATTTACAGCTTACAGGTCTGTGTCAATGAAAATGTTCTTACTTTTTTTTTTTTTTTTTACTTTTACAATATGAATTGAGATACCTGGATTTTAACCCCACCCCTACTCCTAGATAGCTACAGGCATTTCAACTATGTCTGGGCAGTTTTAGGAATGTTACTTAATTTCACTTAATCTATCTTCATCTATATTATGTAGAAAAAATACCCTTACCTCATTGTGTTGYCAAGAGGAATAAATTAGTAAAGTTAAATAATGCACAAAGGGACCAATTTAATGTTCCTCAAATATTACTAGGGTTCTATTACAAACTAATTTATCAATAACATCTATATACTTTTCAAAAACAGCAAGTGATAGTAGGCAGGCAATGGACTGTGTACAAAATGTAATCTAACTCTACAAAAACACTTATCAATTCTTTACAAAAACACTTATCAATTCTTATTCTATCTTTATACATTCTATCTTTATGGTGTCATGTTAACCAACTTGCTATTATATAATTTAGGCTACCTTATTAAAGGTAGAATGTCTATGGATAGAAGACAGCAGGTTCTCTTAGAAGAGTAACTAAACCTTCTGTAATTTAAGATAACTCTGGGGGAAAGTGTTTGGCTAAAATAAACATAAAACCTTTCAAAACACTTAAATTTTATAGTTACATAGAAAGAACAAAAAGACCTGGACAGAAGCAAGAAAGGGAAAGTGAGAGCTCGGCCAGGTTGCTCTGATCTCATCAACTTAAAAGGAAAAGTTCTCTTCCCCCCAACACTCTGGAGCCTCCTCTGTCTACTGTTGGGGAGGAGATATTAAATTAATAGTAGATCTAAATTCATTTGCAAAAGTCACATAAAATTATATCTGTCTAATGTTGTCAATTAGTATTTAAAAATTGGAGAGGATCCTTATGAAGTAGGTGACCCCGGCAAGAAATATGAAATGAGACTATCAATTTCCCCTCAAACTTCAGAGTTCAAATAGAGGTAAATGCCAAAATCCTATGAAAATTTTGAAAAGTATCAAACAGTACAAATTCAAGGAATTATTAATGATGATAATATAGCTTATTAATTAATTATCAGAACTTAAAATCCAGATATCATAAAAAGCACATCTATTTGACACTRCAATGAATTATACCTATGTTCTTGTAGTACAAGTTGGGCATACTTAATCTAAAAATCCAAAATCTAAAATGATCCAAAATCCAAAACTTTTTCAGCATTTATATTGACACTCAGAAAATCGGATTCTCAAGCATTTTGGATTTTGAATTAGGAAAGCTTAACCTGTAAAGTCTATGTAAATATTTCAAAATCAAAAAAACTCTAAAATTTGAAACACTTCTGATCCCAAGTATTTTGGATAAGGGATACTGTACCTATATACCGTTAAAAAGATAATTTTCTCAAAGTAGATTTCAGCACATTCTGAGCTCAAGTGTAATGTGCTAAACAACAAAGAAAAGTCACAAAAACTAAAAGTTTATAACAACCCTAAAAATCTAAATTTGAACATACTTCAAAAATTTATAACTCTTTTCATATASCAAAATTAACCCAACCCTCTATTTCTTCACTCGTTATTTGTTTTAATTAGTTCCAAAGACAAAAAAGGAAATTCCTACATCTTAGAAGGGAGCAAGTTTAATGTGTGTGTAGAACTCTAATTTGCCAGTGTTCATCATTCTTCAATACTACTTTTTTCTTATCCTTTATTCATACTAAATACTCATTATAGCCAAAGGAAAAGAAAAGAGATCTTATTGGAAACATTTTTCACTAATTGTTCTAAAATAATAGAAGGTCATTTTTACCTGACCTCAATCTGATCAACTCACAGAATTAAACTTCTCATAAAGCTTACTGACTGAAGACCAGGGCACACTCACCGAATCTCCATGGCTAACCAGCTACCTTCCAGAATGCCAACACTTAGTAAGAGTTGGTTGTGTTCCTTCCCATACCTGCTCATGTCATTGTAACAATATATATTTTAAAACAAACAGAACATAAACTGATGGAATASAGTGAAAAATAAAGAATATTTTTTCTATGAACATTAAGTGAATGTTTCAGGAAAACTTGGTAAAGGTTAAGTTGCTTTACAACACTTTTATGAAATAGGGTKTTGACAGGTAACAGTAAAAGATGAAGAAAAGTTTTGTTATAATGTAGAATTTTGTACTCATGGATTGATTCACAGGAGCCTCAACTTTACATGACCCATTACTGATGAAGTTTATGACAAAAAAGGTGCTGCAGACCTCCACTGGCAGATACAAACTCAAAGAAAATGCTTTGGACTATATCAAAAGATTAGAAAAAAATGGAAACATATTTTCAGTTAAAATAAATCACTGAAGGTACACATGCGTTTATAGTTTTTCACAATTCCTGGCTYTAATCAATTTTTCAAWTAGCTATTTATTTTTTATCCAGAAGAGGGCATCAACTYTAATTGATAGTATTCTCCTTCAGCATTGAAAGGTCAAAAGAACCACTCATGCAAACCAAATTTACTATACCTTTTCCTTTTGAATCCATGAAGAAAAGACCAAAAGAGAGAAAAAAAGAAATCAGTTCAAAAGGTCAGAGAAAATGCAAGTAAATTTTTAAGGTGTGACAACCTTTAGTTAACTGTGAGAATGATATTAAAYGTGATTAAATGATGTCTCTTTCATTTATGATTATATTCAGGTACTGGTTCTGGGAAAAGAGAAAATGCATAATATTCAACTTATAGCAGAGTAATAAGTAAATACTAAGTAAGTAATAAGTAAACCTATATTTTAGTTAGAAATGAAAACAATTTCAAAAAGATAATCTACTAAAGTACACTAACAAAAGAATGGAAAAGAAAGGATCTTGTGATAAGAAAACATCTTCATTAAATTAAGAACCAAGATACACAAAAAATGCTATATATCTATTATAATTCCATAAGAATACACACAACATATAAAGTTTAAGAAACTATAACAATTACTATTTTAATGAATCAGGCCTCTATTTCAAAGAAGCTCTAATGGTACTTGAACAAAGATAGTTCTTCCTGCTCTACTTACTTCTATGATCAACAAAGATATTTTTAAAAGATCAGCTCTAACCCAGATCTCTCGTCTAGACACTTCATAGTGTCTGCTATTTGTTCCTGGGCTTTCAAGCATATTTTAATCCATTTGTTAAAAGCATAGTCCAAACATCTGCTTCCTACAAACAATAATAAGTAAAATTTATTAAATATACTATTAAAACCCAAAGCTCAAACCAGAATACTATACTATGACTCCTTCTCAAAATGTTCTCTTTGGCACACTTTCCTATGAGACTGTAATAAAACATCACTATTTCATCATATTTATAAGAAAGCTGCTGGGGATCTAAAAAAAACAGGAAGCAGGCCCMAGGAAATGAAGGAGACAGTATCAAAAGATAATGTATTCTTCTCCTCTGTTAGTTTTTAAAGTATTCATTTTAATTTGTTTGCAGTAAGCTCCACATGGGTTTGATTATAAGCAGTCACATATCTGTACAAACTCTTGATAAAGAAGGGATGTTAAAAAGCACACCGAGTTGAGAAAAAAATGAGTATTTGTAAGTGRAAACAAAGAAATCAACATCCATTCTGCTGATAGATAAATATATAAATTATATTCTATCCTCAAGCACCTTAGTTTTTTSTATTTTTCTCTTCATATCTTAGAATTTGCCTCCTCTTCCTCTCAAAACAAGATGACTGCTTGAAATAATGGGAAATGCACTGAGCTAGGATTTTGTGTTATCTGATTTTGAATTTGGCTCTGTGCTTCTCACTTAACCTCTCTGGTCCTCAATTACCTTAAATGAAAAATAAGAAGACTGAACTACAAGACCCTGTGAGATTCTTTCCCAAAAGTATATTGATCTAATATCAACTATACCCTCACAGAAAAAAAAAAATTCTTATACCTGATACAAAACCACACTGGAAAACCTTTTCCAAAAGGCAGTTGGATAATACTTATCACAAGACACTAATGCTCATGTCCTGGCTCAAGCAATTCAACTGTTAGGAATTTGACCTAAGGAAGTGATCATAGCACAAAAATGCAGAAATAAAGATGTTTGTCATAGCACTGTTTGTTTAGAAACAACCAAATGTCTTATGAAAGAAGAAGGCTAAGTAAGTACATTTTGATACATCCATTCAAAAAATACAATATACCCATTTAGAATCATGTTTTATATCATGTTATTATCTACTTTTTGGTATAGAGGACATCTTTCCATGCAATTATATATTAATTTCATATATGGTTGTTTGTATGTTTATGTATATATATACATATATACATACATAAGTGTACTTATGTACTTATGTATGTATATATGTATATATATAAATGTACTTATGTATGTATATATGTATATATATACATACATAAGTGTACTTATGTATGTATATATGTATATATATACATAAACATACAAACAACCATATATGAAATTAATATATAATTGCATGGAAAGATGTCCTCTATACCAAAAAGTAGATAATAACATGATTCCATTTGGGGATGTATACACACACACACACACACACACACACACACGTATAAAGAAAAGACTAGAAGATTATACAGAAATGTTAGGAACTATTTCTGAAGAATAGAAATAGTTGGTATTTTGTATCTTCAATTTTTGCTCATCTATATTTTCTAAATTTTCCCCTCTGCATATATATCAACTATGTAGTAAGAAAAAAAGTATTATTTAAAGAATTAACTCTCAAATCCTTTCAAGGAAATTACATTTTTGTTTCTATCCTTCTGATCCCCAAGCAATAAAACTGTTATTTAAATCAATCATCATTAAAAAGAATAGGTTACAATTACATATTAAATAAAGTTTTTGGCATAATAAGTAGAAAGTCGAATTGTTCAAAGACAACAGAAAATAACTAGTGTCATTCATACAAAGATGCAAGGCTCCACAGAGATCAAATTACAGTTCTATAAAGTAATCCTTATCAAATGTTCCTTATTAAATTCAGTATCATTGGGTTTTCCATTTAAGAGAAGCAAAAGAACTCTAGAATCTAGAAAAGATTAGTGAAAAAGGCCAGAAAAATATTATCTAATGGCTTCTAAATAGGAAAAAAAAGAACTAATAAAACTGATWTAAGTCTCAAATAGAAAAAATTTTAAAATACAACTAACTTCTATAAAAATAAAACTACCCATATTCTCTTCTCAACCAACAATGTAATTATGGGCAAAAAAAATAATTCAGTTTAGAGGGATTTATAAAGGAAATAAAACCAAATTTATTGCCAGTGAGTAACAGAAAATGGGAAATCCTGGGGAATTCCTTTCCCTAAAAGTCTTTTAAAACACCCATAACTGGAATATGATTTAGAATAAAAAAATCACSGCCACCACCATCAACTGGAGATAGACAAGATGGCAAGGCAAAGTTCCTTGCAACTTTATTCTTTTTTTGTCTAAGTCTATAGGAAGTAAAAAAAATAAAATAAAATAAAAAAGATAGCTTATAAATTCATAAAGAAAAAACTTGCAATGGGTAGCAAAATGAAGCTGTGAATCAAGTAATTTTTAACTATAAATATATGTACATATTTTTTGAGATGAAAGTCTTGCTGTAATGGCCAGGATGGCCTTGAACCAGCTATCCTCCTGCCTCAGGCTCCTAAGTAGCAAGGATTACAGGCATGAACCACTACACTCAGCAATTTTTAACTATAAAAATATTGACTGCTAATTTTATGTTTTTCTGGTTTTGTTCATGAAAATGAAGTCCACTATGACTATGTGATTAAGGAACATAAAACTCTAAAGGATTCTTAATATTTAAAAGTAAAAAAGTACTTAGAAAGTTTACCAAATATTAAAGCCAATCCATGAGATGTACCCACGGCTATCAAACTGGACACTGCCTGAAAACAAAAAGGAAGATTACATTTTAAAAATATTACATCAAAGATCTTGAAATAATCAGAGTTGAATTTGTTGGCCTGCCTTCCTCTAGGCACCAGATGATATACCAACTATTATAAATAACAAGAATTTCATTTAGGAGGCAGAACGGAAAATGAATCTCAGGACATTTTATTTCTGAGAATACTTCTAAATTTACTCTAAGGGAAACACTATCAAAATTTCATTTGTTCAATATTATAGGCAACAACATGCCACTTAGCTATCTTTAAACCCACTTTTTAAAAAGAGTCAAAAAATATCAGGATCCAGACAAAGAAAGAAGCACTTATTCAACTCAAGCAARAGCCTCTTATAAAGTGTGGGGAAGGGATGAGAGCACTTTTGTCTACTTTATCCACAGGAGCCAAAGGGCACCAGAAATGTTCAAATCTAAGCCCATTTCCTCACCAAGCAACTGACTAATGAGAAAGTCAGAGGAGTGCTGGGGATGTAGCTCAGTGGTAGAGCACTTATTCAGCAAGCATGAAGTCCTGGGTTCAATCCCCAATAACTAACACACACACACACACATATACACACACACACACACACACAGAGACACACACACAATCAAACCAGCCAGAAACAGGACTAAGAAAAGAGCACATTAGTGTGCTTTCAACATCCCCCATTCTCCACAATGACCCCCACAGATTTACTATTTGGTAGACTTGGCACTGGAGTCCAAAGCTGTTAAATGTACTATTTACCACAAAGTGAGTTCACTGAATGCTGTTTTCTAACAAATCACAACAGGCCAGATCACAGAAAAGTAGGGTTATACTACATACAAATAAAACTGGAAAAGGCTAATCATTGTTCCATTATCTGTTTCTCAAACAAAAAGGGGTGCTCCACGGTAAAGCTCCCCTGGGTTCAATCCCTAGTACTGCAAAAAAAAAAAAAATAACTTTTTGTTATTGTTTTTAAATAACAAAAAGTAACAATTAGAAAAAAATAAAACATTCAACATGGACAAATTTTAAACCTGATTACTGGGAGTAAATGACTTAGGAATTTATTATCATATAATATTTTATGTAAAAACTTTGAGCATTATAAATCAAGAAACCCCAATCTAATAAAAAGTTTACTTTAAAAGGTTTAAAGTATACTTACAATTGCTGTAGGCAAGCCAGCATCTACTTTGTCCTAAATAAAATTAAAAAAAAAATAGTATTTGAAAAGATATTCTCTTCTTAATCTAGAAAAAAGTATAAGGCTCCCTCTTTACATATACTTTAATCCAAATTAATTCAGACAAAAGGTAGAATCTTTATTTTTACCCTCAGTTAAGAGAAATGACAAAAGCTATATWTTATCAACAAAATCAGAAGAGCACGAGAGTGGATTATCTTATTTTACTAACTGTAACAGATGCTTCAGGAAGGGTACTGATTATAAATGGAAAGGAAAAAGACAGGAAAGAGGTTCTGTTTCTATAGTGTAAAAACTATAAGTACTAAGGAGCCAAAATGATAGGAGTCTATGAAGACTGAAGAAAAGGGAAGCCAGAGTTGGTGGCACACTTCTGTGATCACAGGAACTCAGGAAGCTAGGGCAGAAGGATCTCAAGTTCAAGGTCAGTACTAGCAACTTAGCAAGACCCTATTTAGCAAGGGTGGGTGAGGGGCAGGGCTGGGGATATGGCTCCATGGTAAACCAACCCTGGGATCAATCCCTAGTACTGAAAAAAAAAAAATTTAAATAACAGCAGCAAAAAGAAAACGTRCTCAAGACATTCTACTTTGAAGTAGGGGTTTCCTACCCAGCAGATTACCTACTAACCCTTAAGTAAAATCCCAGCAGTGTACATTCAGTTCTTAAGCATAAAAAGGTAGAACACTTAAAGGCTAGTTCAGTTCCTTACCACTAATTCTGACTGTGGAAAAGTCCCCTAACTTTTCTGGGTTTTGTTGACTTCTMCTGTTCAAAGAAATACTAAATACTACCTTATTTATCTCAGTTGTCCTGAGAATTAATGTAAAGAATGATATAAATAAAAGAGTATTTGATACTTAGTTTTGAATAGTAACAGCCTGCAATGCTACAGCACCGTAGTAGCAAGTGGATTTCACAAACATTTGCACTGTTTCTCAAATTTGGAGAGATAGAAGAGTCAGTATTTTTGTGATATTCTAAATTAAGARAATAAGTTTCAAAGAGCTTAACTGTCTTTCCCAAGGCTCCTCAGTAAGGGTTAGAACTACGTCTCAAACTCAGCCTCCARGGCAGGCTCTTTACATCATTTCAACAACTGTTTTGTCTGACCCTGTCAATATGGTCAATTAGTTACTATAATATCTCAGAAGGCAGAATCAATTACCTAATTTTGAAGAACTTCCCAGGAAATAACCTAAGAAACTTCAGTGCATGGAAACATGAGAAATAACAATCACCAATGTTGCTGGATTCAGTGTTCTGGAGAGAAACATATACCAGGTAGGTGTATGATGGGTGTGGGGGTGTAAAGCATAATGACTTACAATTAAAAATATGCAATAAAAATTTAATATATGRTTGATTTGTGCCTGAGACACAGAAAAAGAAGAGACAGCAGATGAAAAGCATAAGCTATTATTCAAAATGGAACCTGAATAATGAAATCAGAAGTCATCTGACTTCAAAAGCTAAAAAGCACAGATGTGGGAAGTATTTTAGAGAYTACAGAATTTTAGTACTGGTGCTGCAATATCTTAGAGTAGTGGTTCTCAAAAGCCAGACCTGCAATACAATCACCTGGGATGCCTGTTAAAATGCAGAACCATATACTACGCTGCTAGATTACAATTCAGTAGATCTAAAGTGATACCCAGGAATCCTCATTTTAAAAAGCACCTCAGGAGATTCTTATGTACTGGACATATTTATAAAAATACACTACACTGAGATATCTACAGTATCTTAAGATTAATCATCAAAATGATTTTAAAAAACCTTAAAAGGTTACTTTGAGGGGCTGGGGTTGTAGCTCAGTGAYAGAGTGAAGACTTGCGMATATGAGGCACTGGGTTAGATCCTCAGTACCACATATAAATAAGGAAAGGTATTGTGTCCATCTACAACTAAAAAATATATATACATTAAAAAAAAGGTTACTCTGAATTAATTTTAAGTATAGACATGTCACACTTTGAGAAGGATCCCAAAATTAAAGAATGAGGTTCACAACTCCAAAAATTTCATCTCTCTTAAATGTTTTTCATGCTTAAACTCCAAAGCCATGACAGTCAAGACTCAAAGCAGCCTGATAACATCACTAACCATCATGCTGAAGGCACTACTGAACAACTCTTCAGGAAAAATACCCAAAAATATAACTAGCTTTACATGTTAATAAACCAACCATCACAGAAAAGCATGCAATTTAAATTGAGCTGGTAATCCAAAATTAGGAAGGCACCATATGATGACTGTCAAAGGAAAAGCAGTTTTCATTTTAACATACCAAAGGAGCTCAGCCATAGCAATGAAATAAGAACAGAATGCAAACACTCTGGGATTTATTAGAATTTCCCCCTCCTCTTTAAGAGGGAGGAGAAACCCTTTTAAATAACAGATTTATCTAATCATTGCTCAGTGTCTGAGTTTTAGTTCAGTCTCCATTATTCAAAATATTTTTAAAACTGCACAGGTGGGTCAAATGACTGTTCTGGTTCATCTTGATTTTGAAAGGAATGAATTTCATCACCTACATAAGGATTAAATTCAGAAAACGTCATGGAAATGTAATCCTCAACAGGTGGTTCCTATTCTGGCAAATATGAGTTACTCTCCACCTAAAAAAGGAGGACAATCCCACAGCTTTCCTCCATTGCTTGACCATCACTCTAAACTGACCTCATGATTTAGAAACTGGGTCAGGATACACCAGTTGCCCAGAGTGAACACCTTTTTTTTTTTTTTTTTTTTTTGGAGTCTGCACTAAGAACTTTCTCTGATAAACCTGAAAATTGTACAGAATTTTGGAGTCATAATGCCACTCTTGTAACAACCCCTTACCCTCTTGAAAGATCAAAACCTGTATTTTTTTATTTATTTTATTTATTCTTTTCCAGTGCAGGGATAGAACCAGGAATTCATGCATGTTAGGCATGTGCTCTACCACTGACCTTACAGCCAGCCCTCAAAACCTTTATTTCTCATCCAAACTGAATATGTAAAATACCAATTAAACTCCATGAAAAGAACATAAAGCCACATCAAAGTTCMTGGGTTATGAATCTGTCATTATGAGTATTACTATTATATATACACTGAATTCAGAAAACTAGAATTGAAAGATTACTTAAAAGTATGAGCTTTGAGGTCAAAGGAAAGTTTTATCAATATCTACTGTCTTGATAGGCTATTAAATATTTTTTACATTAATCTGGCACTCTCAAAAAAGGCCAGATAGGGACTGGAGATATAATTCAGTTGGTAGAGTGCTTGCCTTGCATGCACAAGGCCTTGGGTTCAATCCCCAGCACCACTAGAAAAGAAAAAGGCCAGATATTCTGTTCTAGTCATTATACAATGGCCACATTCACCAATGCCACTTCCTTTCCACAATAAGAGGCCCTAAACTTGGAGCCAGAAACACCAATTTTTGAGTAATCATTCTGCTACATCCTAATGGAATGATGTAAGACAAGTTAATATCACCTTTCTAAGCCTATCTTCTCATTTTTAAAATAGGACATAGGTTACCTGCTCTCCAAGTTGTAAGAATAAATGATATAAGTACATGAAAAGATTTGTGAATTCAAATAAAAAAATKTTGTAAAAGATTCTGATCAGGGATGGGGCTGTAGCTCAGTGGCAGAGTGCTTGCTTTGCATGTGTAAGGCACTGGGTTCAATCCTCAGCACCACATAAAAATAAATAAAGATATTCTATCCATCTACAACTAAAAAAATATTTTTAAAAAAAGATTCTGATCAATCACTTCTCCATATGAAAAGACTAAAAACTCTATTTCAACCAAACACACAAAATGGCAACTAACCAGAAAAGAATATAAAGAAAAGGCAGATAGTGTTTCTTTTAGGCTTGAGGCCATATTTCATTTGGGTATACCTACTACTCTGAGCAGACCTTTATTTTCATGGCTGTACTAATTTCTTTGTCAAAATGTGTAGTCATATCTTAGGAGTCAAAAATAATCACACAAAAGCCATGAAAGCCAGATTCTATTTTTCTTAAGCCTCAGGCCAAGAGAAGAGCTGTGCTTTATTTTATGCTCATTCCTACTTCATTATGCTATTCCAGGTTATAAAGCTGGGGAAAAGAACAAAATACTTACAGCTGCAGACACTATCTGGGCAGAAATTCCCTTCAGAAGTGAATGTCGCATAACTGATCCATGGAGTGAAAAAGAATCAGGTAATTTCTTTTTCCTTTAAAAAAAAATGTTTAAGAAAGAACAGAAGTATGAGTTGAAAAGGCAAGGTCCCAATGCTTTGAAAGAAAAAAAAAACATAAAAATAACAAAAGCAGAAAATACCACTATAATTTGTTAGCTCTGTTTTAAAGAGGTAAAAAGAATCTAACAGTCTCACATCACAATGGATACTAAACCCACCGTGAACCTCAGTAAAACACAAACAGGAAAATGAATAAAATCAACATTCCTTTTTCATTGACTGAAACCACTCCTTGCCCTCCATAACTACTATGGCAAATATGAGTCACCTACTGTTCTCTAGAGGGTTGCCTACAGATCACTCCTGTTCTGTATGTCATTATTACCTCCACTTGCCTTCCTACACCTTCTCTCCTTTATTGCTCTTCTGTCCATGATCACTATTCCCATTCTTCAACCAATCACCTTCTCAATTCCTCACTTATTACACACTGTTGCTCCTGCTAATGGCACCTTTCACTTACAGCCACTAATCATCATACAAAAAGTGATTTACCAGACATTATAGAGTATCTACTCTGTATGACTAAAAGTATGCTCTGGGAATACAAAAATAAGGAAGCCACAGTTCCTACCATCAAAGACCTCAACCTAGCCAGAGGAACTGAYAAGTAACTCTTACAGGATGAAATGGACAAGAAATTCGAATACAGTAGTAGGAAATGCAAATGAAGAAGAGTTTAATCTGTTTATTTGGGGGATGTGAGGGATAGCTGTAGAAAAGAGAAAACATCTCTTTTAGCCTTGTTGAATGACTGTGAGTCTGTTGGGCAAAAAAGCACAAGCAGAAATGTGCAGATGTAAAGGTGTAAAGTATGCCTGGGAACACTAAGTACAAACAAGCATGGACCAGGTGGCTGAAGAGGGAGAGCTCARAGATGAGCTCAGAATAGTAAGCAGAGTCCACAATGGCGTCACACAATAGCTTCTRAATTTATTGCACAGCAACAAGATGACATCATTTAAGCAGGTAATAAATCATCAAAAACACTTGTTTATTTATAGTACAGAGTGATGAACAGGTGAACATATCCAGCAATGGTCCCTACCCCATAAGAAACAACAACCTAAAGAAGATAGGACTGAGACAGGGCAAATTTAAGAGAAGGAGAAGAAATACACAGCTAATTTTATCAACATTAAAGTTACACATGAATTCAATAAAGTATTTATATTATGCATTTCCACTTCTCTTTCCTTTTCATGTTTTCTCCAAGAATTTGCAAGGTGAAAAGCAGCCAAAAATGAAATTATTTAGAGTTAGAAATCTTTTCCCCAAATCTTTAATCATCTTTCTGATTCTTCTCTGAACCCGTTCCAAGGAAATGAAGAATGCTAAAAGCTGCCCTTAGAGAGTGAGGGCAGCAGTCGAGTATAGGAATCAGAAGGGAGACAAGGTAGACCAAGCTCTGTTTCCAATACAAATACTGTGCCATGTTTCATTTGTACTCTTTTCAAGAGCTCTACTTTTGCTGGGAGTCTCTGGCTATTAATAAGGCTTTTTATTAAAGGTTCAAATAACATGTCATAGCACCCACTTTTTTGTCTTCCCCCTCAACAGCACCAAAATTTTAGGATCTAATAAGCATATTATTCCCATACAGATGGACCCTCTACTTCCCATACAGGGCTTCAACAGACCATGCTAAACTATAAAAAGAAATTGACATTTTATTTTATTTTACTTTAGAGAGAGAGAGAGAGAGAAAGAGAGAGAGAGAATTTTTTAATATCTATTTTTTAGTTTTTCGGTGGGCATAACATCTTTGTTTGTATGTGGTGCTGAGGATTGAACCCGGGCCGCACCCATGCCAGGCGAGCGAGCTACCGCTTGAACCACATCCCCAGCCCAGAAATTGACATTTTAAATGACCAAATATTTCAATCATTCGTAAGTGTGATTTTACATGAATATTTACCTTTTTAAGTTGGTCCTGTCACCACTATCTGAGCTTGCCACAGATGAAGTATCATAGGAATGAGAATCAATAGTATCAATGTTTAGCAATGTAGGATCCTCAAGAACAAAAGACTCATCTTCATCATCAGTCTAAATTGGAAGAAAGAACAACACATTCAAAATTCAAAATATTCTATGAAACAAGTCAGATAGGCATTAATGGGTTTTTCCAAAGCATTCAAATGCTTACTTATGCTTTTCATCTCTATTCCACACATTCTTATTCACCAGAGAGGCACAGAACAGAACTACCTGAATTAAATTTCAACTCCACATAGATCTCATTCTCTACAAAAAGTAAGTACCAAAAACTTCTTTCTTATAGCAAGAGGAAGCAGGAACAGTTATGTAGGTTGATATTAACTGCAAAGTACTTCTTCAAATTCAAACCTGAACAAATGTTTTACTAATTAACCAACAGCCATTGGCTAATTAAAAGATAATAAATATCACCTGACTTTAGTCTACCATAAGAAATATGACAAATAGAAGAAAAGCATTCTGAATAGGAAAAAGCATATGCAGTCACAATGATTTCATACTATGAATTTTTGTCCATGGAAAAGGAAGTAGCCCAAAAATGGCTGGAAAACAGTAGAACTTGGAGATGATCTTAGAAAGATAAGCTGAAACCCAAACTGTAAAATGCCTTATATTCCATTAAGCTAAGTGGCAGCAGGGCCCAAGTCTATCTTGTTCACCACTATACCCATAGTGCCTAGTACACAACACCCGACACATAATAATTACTCATTTAATGAATTAGTATGCTAAATACAGAGGGCAGTGGGAAGGCAACTAAGATTTTAAGAAGTGGAGAGACGTGATGGAAACCATATTTTAGATATAAAAGGGGCAGTATGAAAAATGAACAAAGTAAGAAGGAGAGAATGAGACACAGGGATTACTAAGGACCAGTGAGAGGGCACTGCAATGTCAGGGAAGAAAGGAAATTCCAGCCTAGGAATGTGGCAGAGATCAGGAGAGGTAATGATCAAAGAGCCATCACTGAGATAAAATCAAAAGTCCTTGGTTACCATTTAATTGTGGGGAAAGGAAAGGCAAGTGGGAAGACAAACAGGATTCCAAGGTTTCCAGCTTGAGCAACAGGCAAAAAGTGAGACCACAGACTGAGATAAGAAAACACACAAATAGCAGATAAAGCAGGATAAGGAGCTGGTTTTGTACAAGTTAATTCTGAGTGACAGCTATTAAAGAAGAATGTTCTAATCCTATCTTCTTCTCTTTCAGCAGATCCACCTCTGCCTTATGTTTCCAATCAATGTGTTTGATAAAGCAATCTATACTGATCCCCATTTTCTTTTTTGAAATTTTATTTGTTGTTTTTAGAGTTACCTGATAGTGGAGTGTATTTTGACATATGTACATGAAGTACAACCCATTCCAATAGGATCCCAATCTGTGGTCATACATAATATGCAATTATACTGGTTGTGTATTCATATATGAGTAAAGTTGTGTTTGATTCATTCTACTATCTTTCCTATTCCTACCCCCTCCCTTTCCTTTATCTGATCCCCATTTTCTCTATTCATTCTAAGCTATTGATTACTAACCTTGATGAAGGTAATAGTCAATTCTACTTGCCTATTTTCAGTTAGCAGATTTTTCTCCTCCAGCACTATTTAACCTTGTTGGCCATTCCCTACTTCTTAAAAATTTCTCTCCCCTTGAGCTGGTTGATCTCGATCTCCCCTAGATCTCTCTTTCCTGGTTCTTCTCCAATTTATATGGACTCTTATCAATCATGTTGTCTAGCTTCTTCTCAGCCAAACTTTAAAAGCTGTTGTTCCCCCAAAACTACAGTCTTAGCTCTCTCCCCACTTCACACACTTTGTATTTGATTAACCTTGTCCATACCTAAGGTTTTAAGAACCATATTATGCTAAAAATACTACAAAATCTGTTTTTAGTACCAATGTTTCTGTTCAGGTTTAGGTCTTTATTTACAACTTCTTTTCAGATATCGCTGCACATAAGTCTGCTAAGAAAAGGGTTAGCACTGGCAAGGACAGATTATGTTACTTGAGAACTATAAAAGATTGAAACAATTGCTGTAGGAAAAGAGAAAGGAAATAATTCAAAAATAAGAACTGCAACACCAAGGTCTTAAGCAAGAAAGTCAATTAAAACCTTATTTGATTTTCTAAAGCAGCCTGGGGACATAATTAAGGAAAATAGATTAGCTAAGTTAAGCCAGGCTTATAGGATAAGTGAAAGAAAAAGTAAAGAAAATAAAAGAATTCAGGATGTCAAGACCGAATTTAAAGCTACTACCACATAGTAATCAATTTTCTCCAAACTGAYATGTAAAATCTACAAACTCTTATCAAATTTCAGATAATTTGTGTGTATCTACGTGTATGTAAATCAATGAACTGATTCTAAAACTTGAGTGGAAATGCAAAAGATCAAGAATAAGCAAAGCAATCTCWAGGAGAATAACAAAGCTGGAAAACAGATATCAAGACCTRTTATAAAGGGTCAAGCATTAGAATGTAATGTTGGGGGAAGCATAGACATACCAATGGAATCAGGTCCACATACACATAATCCCCTGACTTATAACATAGGTGACACCACAGATAATACTCCCTTCAGTAAATGGTGCTAGTGGACTCTGCACACTAACACACACACRCAAAATTCTAGATGAATCACAGATCTAAATGTGAAAGGTGGAACAATAAAAATTTTAGGACAAAATAGGATAATATTATCATGACCTTTGGAATTAGCAAAATTTCCATATACATGACACATAAAAACTAACCATAAAGGAAAAGTTTAATAAGTTGAACTGTATTAAGAACTTCTGTTCATCAATACACATTAGTATAGTAAAAAAAGTATCTTATAGAACCAATGAAGATTTTTRCAATAAATATATCTAAATTCTAATAAAGGGCTTTTATTAGCATATATAATAAACCACTTTCTTTTTTTTTTTTTTTTGTGGTACTGGGGATTGAATGCAGGCCTTATGCACTCTACCAACTGGGCTATATCCCCAGCCCTAAACCACTTTCTTAAAAAAAAAAAACCTCAAGAGAATTAACTGGACTAAGGAAAATCTGTAAAACAGATATCCAAAAGGCCAAAACACATGTCAAAGTATCCATCTTCATTAGTTTTCAGGGAAATTCAAATTAAAAACATGATATGATAATGCTATACACCTGTAAAAATGAAAGGCCAAAGTGAAAAAGAAAAATTCAAAAGCTGACAAGTATGTAAGCAGTAATCAGAACTCTTATATATTGCTCCCAGAGGTATATACTGATACAAATACTTTAAAAAAATGGTGGCAGCACTCATGAAAGCTGAATACAACTATACCTGATGACTTACCAATTATCCTAAGGATGTGCCTAAAAGTAATATGTAATGCATGTTTTTTTAATTTTTTTGTGTGTATGCATGTGTGTATATACCAAAATCCATGAATAGGAATATTCTCTGCCGGGCATAGTAGTATACACCTGTAATCCCAAGAGGCTCAAGAGGCTGAGACAAGAGAAGCATAAGTTCAAAGCTASTCTCAACAACTTAGGGAGGTTGGAAGCAATTTGCAAGACCCTGTCTCAAAATTAAATTTAAAAAACGAGCTGGGSATATAGCTCAGTGGTTAAGTACTCCTGGGTTCAATCCCTGGTACAAAAAAAAAAAGTAGAATGAATACATAATGTAATATACACAAAGAATTTTATACAGCAATGAGAATGAATAAACAATTACATACAAAAATATGAATTGGGCATGGTGCATACAAAAATATGAATTGGGCATGGTGGCGCATGCCTGTAATTCCAGCAGCTCAGGAGGCTGAGGCAGGAGAATTGAGAGATAAAAGCCACCAAAGCAAAAGCAAGGCTCTAAGCAACTTAGTGAGACCCTRTATCTAAATAAAATACAAAACAGGGCTGGGAATGTGGCTCAGTGGTCAAGAACCCTTGGGTTCAATTCCTGGTAACCCCCTTAGCCCCCCAAAAAAAGAATAAACCTAAAAMCATAAGTCAGACACACTAGAGTATATATTCCATGTATACACATGTATGTGCACAAAAGTACATTATCCCATGGATATGAAGTTCAAAGCAGGCAAACCAATCAATGGTAAAAGTTAGAACAGTAGTTACTCTGGGGTTGGGTACTGACAGAATATAAGAAGAGCCTGGGATGCTGGTAATGTTTCACTTCTTTATCTGAATTCAGGTTACAAAGGCTGTTTTATTTGTGAAAAATTTACCATGCTGTACACTTATGATTTGTGCACCTTTCTGTATGTGTGTTATACTTCAATAAAAAGCTCAAGAAGACATTTCTGCCTGTACAATCAGAAAGTAGGATCAAAATAAACCCAGGACCACTCTGAGACTGGGAGGTTAGGAAGCATCAAGAGACTTGGTCTTGATGAAGTCAAAGAACAAGTTTAATGGAAGTAAGGAAATGGTAGGAGGAGGTTATGGTTAAAGAATAGAATTTCAAAATTAAAAACCTCAGAGACAACAGAGTTTCAAAGAATGACAGGCCTAGCAATATTATTTCATGATCTAAGTTCTTAGATCTAGGATGTCTTGGTAATCTCTACCTTTTAATTTTTTAAAATATCTTGGATGTCTTTTTCTTCCAGCCTCCCTTCAAGTTAGTATTAATGAACATTATAGAACACAGGCATCTGCRTATCCTAGAGCAAAGACTTATTTACATTTCTGCTCCTTTCATTTTTTAAACTAATCTTCTTTAATACTGTCCTCCCCTATAGTCTTATAATGGTCTACAATTGAAACTATCTTTTCTTTTACTTACCTACCTGCCGAGCTCCCTGGAGGTTTAAAGGCTGGCCAATTTCCAATCCCATTTCTCTCTCAAGGACACAGTCATATAGCACTTAATAAGCCCAGCATCTAACACCATGCCCCAAACACACCATCCACCAAATTACACTTTGGATGATAACTGTATTATCTTCTCAGTAAACCACTAATGACAGTACTTATTGTTACTCAGAGATAAGAAGGTGTCCAAGGACAGTTTGTCTTCAGTATGAACTACAGTCTTATTCATATGAGCATTATTTTCTTTGCCAACATTATATAAAGATGTACAAATAGGGCATTATATACAGTCTTCCAAAATTATTTTCACTTCACACTTGGTAAGATAATTAAAATCAGAATGAGATTAAGACCATGTTAACAAAACTGACTAAATCTTCTCATCTCTAAATGAAAAGATTTCCCTATATTAGAAAGTAATAAATAAAGAACATTTCACTGTAACAGGATACTCTTTCAGGGTCCAATGCCACCTTTGTTAAAAATAAAACTGCTTAAGTCTCAATATAGACTATACAGAACATTTTGAAGTTAAAATAAATTCAAAGTAACAGCCACATCAATCTGATGTAGAAAATAGAAATGGAAGCCATAAAAGATACAATTCACAAAGAAAGTAGTTTACATTCTTCGAAGTATTGTCTACAACCCTAAAAGTACAGGTAAAGAAGGGATACAGACAGCTCCAATCCATTCAGAGATACAGTTATCAGTGGGCATTTCTGTTGGGGAACAGTTGCATCCTCATCTTTTGGAAAACAAAACTATAGATCTGAAATAGATTTATACATATAGTCTTTCCCAAATTATAAGCTGAAACCTCTAAGAAAAGTCTTAAGAAAGTTTTTTAAAAGGTCAAAAAGACTGAGCTGAAGAGTTGTTAATAGTACATAACAACAGACATATTGTCACTGACCATGTACTCTTATAAATCCCTTTGATCTGCCAATTCAGTAAAGAATAACACCATTTCAAAGCTAAAAAACTTCCTAATAAACACATTCTTCATAAAATAAATACTAGAACATTTGTGTCCTTCGTATAGAAGAGTGATAAAGCACACTTTAAGATTGCAAAATGCTCTTTAGTGTTAGAGGATGAGCTATTTGATGATCACCAATAGAGATAACTAATCATTATGAGTACATAATCGAATCTTAAAAGTAAAATAAATTTAGTATTTCAATTCACTTAGGAAAAGAAAAATATGTATTTATATTCATTCATTTATTTATTTGGTGCAGGGGTCTGAACCCARAGCCTTATACAAGCTAATCATGCCCTCTACCACATTAAGTTATAGCCCCAGTCCTAATAAGATATATTTTTTAACTCTGCCAAGTGTTGGACATTGTGCTGGRCACAGAAACTAAAGACAAACAAGATATGGTTTCTACCCTTAAAAAATTCACAATCTAGATTGGTGCTGTCCAACAGAATTCTCTGCAATGATGGAAATATTCCATACCCATGCCATCTATTAGAGTACAACATGTGACTACTTAAGACCWGAAATGCGCTTTGTGCAGCTGAGAAATTGAATTTTTACTTAATTGTAATCAATTTAAATTTTAAATTGACACATTTGACTAGCAGCTACTATATTGGGTAGTGTAAATCTAGATACATCAAACTAACCCAAAAGTATTAAAATCAATACTACAAAATAACAGTGATCATTAGTATTTTCTTACCTCATTCAGTATGCTTTCCAGTGTTGGAGGAGTATCAACTTGAGGAATATCAAATTCCTTGTCATCAATCTAAATAAAGAAAAAAAAACAATGCTCACATAATGATGCCTTTCCCCTTATCATAGTAAGGGTGTTTTAATTTATTAGAACCATTGTCAATTAAAAAAACAAACTAAGTACCATGATCAGTCAACTCAGTAATCCATGACAAGAAGGGTAAAATCAAAATGTTACAAAACTGTCACCTTTCCTATCTATACATTCAGTGACTATCAAGGACATGTATGGACAGACTGCACCATCATGACAGCCTGTTCCAGAAAGCTTTGCTGTAGGACTTTTACACCTGCTTTGTGAAACATGATAAAACAACTAATTTCCTAAGTCATAAGCAACATGCAAAAATGTGACACCATGTTTCTTAGTTATTTCATAAATTATGTGAGATGATTAATTCAAGAAACTTATCATTAAATACAGTGGTAGAGGCTCGTTAATATAATATTCAACCAATGGGGGGAAAAAGTTGCTGTGTCAGACAAGAATTCTAAACCTACCACTAGCTCTATGACCTTAAAAAGTCATTTAATATAGCTGCAAATCAGAATTTTTACCTATAAAATGGGTTGTCATGTTGCTGTGAGAACTTTGAAGATCAAATGACAACGAGAATATCATTCTAACCACCGCAATGGASCACACAAAGAGTCACAGTATCTCATTAAACTGTCCACAGACAGATTAAGAATATCTGGGTCATAGAGTACTCTCTAACCAACACTTTGATTAAAATCATCACTTGACAAGAGTTAAAACTTTACCAGATCATTTTTGAATTCCAGTTCCTTGTCCAGATCTATGTAAGAGAACTTTGAAAGTGAAGCTTCTAGATTAAAAGACTTATTCAATTCTTCTTCAGTAGTCTTGGCACAAAGGTTCTGTTCCACATTCTCATGGTCTGGTTCATTTTCCATATTTACTTTTTATAAATGTATTCAACCAATCCAAGCAAGTATTCGTCTTCTTTTTGGCTTTAGAGTGCAATGATTTGAATCTCTTTTTTAAAACAAAAAGAAAAGTATCATTTAGATTTGTCAACTGGACATTCCAAAGACTTACTTGGTCAGACCTCACTCAGTCATCTGGTTATAGGCAAAGAAAAACTGACACTGAAGTACAGGGTAAAATATGGGGGGGAGGGGTTCCCACAAGAGCATAAAAAAGGAACAACTAACTCTGATTCAAGGAGCCTGGGAAGTGGTCCTTAGGTCATAACCACTCAAAGTTATGAAACTGGTTACAGTGGCAGTCATGAATTAGTATGGCTGAGATTGATGTGTCTAATAGCATGAAGGTACAATTGTTCCAAGAGCTACAATTAATACCTTCCTCATGTTCCCAAATCTCAGGGTAATTCTTCATTCCCCTGGAGATAAGGATATAGACCAGCTTTGTGGTTGGCATCCACATGGGGCCACAGATGCCTCAGGGAACTTAGTACAGACACCAAGAACACAGACCTAGTTAGTTAATACAACACTAACATACCTAAGGGTTCGGACATATTACAGGAGACCCCAGGATAAAATAACTACACATTCTACCAGAGGTTTCTATAAAGAAAGACAGTCATAGAGAAACATGGACTTTTTCAGGAAAAAATAAAAYACTAAAGAAAACTAGACATGCTTACCTTTTTTAAATATTTCACAGCTCTAAACAACAGAACCCTATGATCTATCAAAAACACAGATAATTTGGTATACTTGTAAAATTATCATTTCTGAAAACTAAAAATGTATTTTAAAATCTGTATAAGTTTAATAATTTAATATTAAATATTCTTTTCAAAGTTTTGAGGTAGTATTGCAATTAGGCTATGAGACTTAATTTTTTTCAATCCACTTAGTTGTGCCAATTTAGAATTAAATAAAAATATGAAAACAGAAACAAGGTTACAGTAATAATAATAAAAATAAAGGTAATTTTGTTTCTTAATCTAGGTGTTTTCTTTTTTCAGTATTTATTTTTTAGCTGTAGTTGGATACAATATATTTAATTAATTAATGTGTGTGTGTGTGTGTGTGTGTGTGTGTGTGTGTGTTTTAAATATGGTGCTGAGGATCAAACCCAGGGCCTCATCCATGCTAGGGGAGCACTATACCACTGAGCCACAACCCCAGCCCTTAATCTAGGTGTTTTCCACAGTACAGTATTCTCCCCTTATCCAGTTTTACATTCTGTGGTTTTGGTTATTTATAGTCAACTTTGATCTGAAAACATTAAATGGAAATTTTTCAGAAATAAAGAATTCATGGCTGGAAGTGGTGGCACATGCCTGTAATGCTCGTGGCTTGGGAAACTGAGGCAAGAGCATCACAAGTTCAAAGTTAGCCTTWGCAACACTGAGGTGCTAAGCAACTCAGTGAGACCCTGTCTCTAAATAAAATACAAAATAGGGCTGGGGATGTGGCTCAGTGGTTGAGTACCCCTGAGTTCAATCCCCAGTTTAAAAAAAAAAAAAATAGTAAGTTTTTAAATTGCTTGCTGTCTGGATAGTGCAATAAAAACCCTGCACCATCCTGCCCTATCCCACTGAGAATGTGACTCATTCCTTTGTTCAGTGTATCCACAGTACATACACTACTGACCTGTCAGTTACTTAGTACTTGTCTTGGTTWTCAGATCAACTATCACAGAATTGCAATGCTTTGTCAAAGGAACCCATATTTTACTTAATAATGGCCCCAAAGAACAAGAGTTGTGATGCTGGCAACCTGAATATGCCAAAGAGAAGCCATTAGGTGCGTCCTTTAAGTGAAGATATAAGTTATTGATATAATAAGGAACAACAACAAATATGCTAAGGTCACTAAGAACTACAGTAATAACGAATCTTCTATCTATGACATTGCAAAGAAGAAAAAAGAAATCTGTAGTAGTTTTGCGATTGCACCTTAAACAACAAAGCTTATCACCATAATGTGTGATAATTGCTTCATCATTCAACTCATGTCATCTCATCATACAGGCATTGTACCATATCATATCATCACAAGAAGGATGAGTAGAGTAAAATAAGATATTTTGAGAACAAGAGACTACATTCATATAACTTTATCACAGCATATTATTATAGTTGTTATCTTTTATTATTAGTTATTGTTATTAATCTTACTGTGCCTAATTATAAATTAAACTTTATCATATGTTTGTATGTACAATTGATTCTCCATATCTACAGGGTWTGCATCCATGGATTCAACCAACCACAGATCAAATATGTAAATTTTAAAAATCTGCTTCTGTCTTGTCATCATTCCTTTAACAATATAACAACTATTTTCAKAGAATTTACATTTTAATAAGCATTATAACTTACCTAGAGATGACTTAAGTATACAAGAGGATGTGTGTAGGTTATTTGCAAATACTGCATTATTTTATATAAGGGACCCCTGTGTCCACAGATTTTGGTATCAGTTAGCTGGGGGATCCTGGAATCAGTCCCCCATGAACACTGAGGGATCAGTATACATAGTTCAATACTCTCCACAATTTCTGGCATCAAGTGGGGATCTTGGAAGGTATCCCCCAAGGAYGGGGGGTAGTACAACCAGCATATCTCAGTGCAAAGCTTCTTCAAACTACACACTGCGCTTGGGGGTATACTCACCATTACTACCACTAACCCTTAGCCCAAAGTGTACCCTTCATAGGGTTCATTATTCCTTAAAGTTAAAAAAAAAAAAAAAGGACTGGCAACAACTCAGCAATTGAGATAACTTAATATTTTACAGTTAATGACGGGCTGGGAATGTAGCTCATCAGTGGCAGTGTACTCGCTTAGCATGTGCAAAGCACTGATTCAATCCCTAGCACTGTGAAAAATATAAAATAAAAGCTAAATAAGATTAGTTGCTTTTAAGTAACRTGCCCCAAACTCACTAATAATTTTATCTAATGAGGTTCATTGTTTTAGCACCTATAACTTCCCTTTTTTAATGTTTCATTTTTATCATATTAAAAGAAATTAATAACTACCATGTAGAAATATGTAGATTCATGAAAACTGATATTTCAAGAGCTGAAGCTAACTTTTCTAGTACCAAATGTATACTAATTTCTTTGACATGGTTCAGAAAATAAACCAATGCTCTGTCCTACAAAGCACATGCCATCAATACATTCCTAGAAGACGTAACTGAGGGTACTCTGTATCTGGCAACATTTAAAAGTTATCTTTTCTTTTTTTTTAAAAAAAAAAAAGAGAGAGGGAGAGAGGAGAGAGAGAGAGAGAGAGAATTTTTTAATATTTATTTTTTAGTTCTCGGCAGACACAACATCTTTGTTGGTATGTGGTGCTGAGGATCGAACCCGGGTCGCACGCATGCCAGGCGAGCGCRCTACCGCTTGAGCCACATCCCCAGCCCTAAAAGTTATCTTTTCAATATCAAGTACTAAATGTACTATTCCTTAGCAAAGAACCAAGCGAGATAGCAGTATTAATGTTTATATGCCTTTCTTCAAAGAAGACTGAATTGGTTCATGACAAATTACTTTTTGATAGTCCCATTAAGCAAAACAGCTATAATTATTCAAGAACTATTCACAAACATATATAATTCCCAGTCAGTGGCTCTCAAGGACAGTTATTAAAAGTTTTATTCTTCTACAGTTCTTTAAGGAAATAAGCATAAAGAAAAAAACTTTTATTTAAATAATTTAATAATTTAAAATGCTTAATGCTTCACATTTATCTTTCAAAGTAACTCAGAAATGAAAACAATATTTTTCTGGTTCTTTTCATTTCCTTTCTGAAGTTAAGACATTTTAAGACCAAATAACAATTCAGCATCTATGAACACTAACATTCCTTGAAGTATCAAGAAATCAAGCATTCCCTGAAGAAAGAGAGAATATCATTCTGTCACAGGATGTCTACTCCATTCCCAACTTTACCTCGCTGAGCTCCTTTTACTTATGTTACGACAAAGAGCAAAGAACACAATCCAAACAGGCCACTAAAACCAGGTTTGAATCTAGACTTTACCAGCTCCTATCAGTGATCTTGGTCAATTTGGCTACCCTTTCCGAATCCCTTTATTCCTACATCTGTGAAATGGAACAAGTGTGGAAATTGGTGTTGTCTGCTCAGAACAGCACCTCACTCATCTCCTAGAAAAGGAGATGAGGTGCTGTTCTTAAACTATACACTTTATGTGTAGGCTCCAGTCAAAATTCCCCTAGTAAAAGGGAGAATGTGATACAGACAGAGTCCTTCATCAGCATTCACTAAAATGGAACTGAAAAGGAAGAATAATTTCCATGGTTCTCTAAACTGAGCAGCCCCTAGTTGCCCACCCAACACTCTTGTGTTAAAAAAAGAAGTCACTAATCGAACACCTATCAACTACACACCTACAAAGCATCTATCACTGGAGGYCCACTTCTACTGACAGAATTTATATTCTAGATACAGATTCCCTAGAATGAAATCAATGTTTTAAAAGAGAAAAGGAGGAAAGAGAATCCTGACATTAACAAGACTCAGATTCTAGTCTTCCAAGAAGTTAGCTCTACTCATAGGCTTCTGGCAGTTTGGTTACATAAATCTACATACTCTACCACACTTTTTTTTTTCTTTTTACTTTTGGTCACAACTCAAAGAGTCCTGACTCTGAGGAATACAGCTACCTATCTTGCAGTGCTACCATGATGAATGAGTGATATAATGACTGTAAAGCATTTAGAATAATACCTGGCCACACAATAATTTTTAAGAAACATTAGCTATTATCATTTACAATTTCCTCAAGATTTCCAAATTCTTCTAAAGTTAAAGACTCCAAAACAAGATCAAGTATTTCTGTAAAGGTCTAACCAAAAGTGCTAAGTGTATCCTACAGATTCTTCTGATGTCACATCAGCAATTTCTTCATGAGCTGAATGATGGTTTGTTTAACACTAGTGTAGTCCCCAGCAAAGTCATCAAAGACACTTAATAAAAACCTTTAATTGTGATATTGAGAAATGTTTTATACTGCTAACTCATT